TCCTTATTCTCTCTCTCTCTCATCCAGACGCATGATCCTTCGTTCGTTTCGACGCACAGGCTAGCCTGCGAACATTTAGGCACAGGGAACTCCCGGCTGCCATTAACACGTTAAGCGCCATGTCAGTCACTGGCGACTGACGCTTCCGAATGACTAAAGAACAATCGTAACACACAAGACAACCGATGTGAAATAAAAATGTTTAATAAGGCAACTTGATAATAGTGTAACGCGAATGTTGCGACGCCAAACGATTCATAATTGTTCCTACTTTTCTTTGCTACGAAAGACAAACTCTATGGGAAAACGCTTAAGATTTTCGTGGCGCTTAACGTGTTAATTGGAACGATAGACAAACGCGTAAAACAAGGGCTGAAAGAGCACGGCCTAAGGATTCGATTAGCCCTTTGCACTCGGACAGGTTGCCACTCGATTCGGAACGATACGATCGGAAAATTAGAAGTTCGATGTTCAATTTCGTGTGAGGCATAGAAATCGAATGATCTTATAATTTGATTTTTGAGTTTGCGTTGCAAGTAGTGTTACAAACGTGTTATCGGAAAGTAATTTATAATGGGAAATACCGTCGAGTGCAGAAGGTTAATTAAGGCTTCACCTACCGGTGATTGTTCAACACTAGAACTAGCAATCCGATCGAGCTTTCTGTAAGTTTGCTAAAACCGTAAGAGTGCATTCATTGAAGTTTTAATTGTGTTGCTAGATCAATCTCTAATAATTTATCAGAGAATTTTCATGTATCTGTTACCTTTTTAGCAATCGTAAAAGAAGATTAACTGTTGTCTTGATCTATCTAGTAGTTCTAATGTTAGTCTCTCGAGACCAATAATTAACAGCTAAAGATGCTTCGACTCAACGAATATCCAAAGCAATGGCGAAATAAAATGAACTCACTCCAATGAGTCGTTCAAATGAAATCAACCTTTACCAGATTCGTTACACAGAATCAATATACAATTCTTAACCGTTAATCATTGTTCCTTTAACCGTTACACGACCGGCAGGTGAAATGCTAACATTAATCGGTGTCTCGAACGACGACTTCGAGGCTTGTAGCTTCAAAGAGGCTCGCAGAAAGATTTCTCGAAGCTAAGAACCTCGAACCCCGTTTGCCAACGATCCCTTTGAACGAATTAGAACGCGACGCGATCGATTAACAAGAAGAGTAGAACGGAAACGAAGGAAAAAGACCAGCTCGTAGCTCGATCGCGAAGGGTCGTTCACGTAGAAGATAGAAAGCACGATACGCTAGAGCAAGGCATCGATTTGCGTGTAAAAAATAACTCTCGTCCTAAGCTTAGTTCGTAATTCTCCGCGGCGATCTCTAATATCGATGTGCTCCTTAAGAGGACGCGCGCCCTTGGAGAAGTCTTTTAGATCGGACAGTTCTGCCGTGCCATGCCACTTTCCTCCTGAACGATCGAAAGGTTCCGGGGCCGTCGTCGAAGACGCAACTTCTGCCGATCGATCGACGAGTACAGTAGTGCTGATTTAATAAAATAAAAATCTTTGGACATTTCTTATATCTTTGACAGACCTTCCTTTGTTCGGTATTTTAAATGTAAGTCGTTCGTTAAAGAATTGATTAATACTAGAATCTGGATTTTTACAAAAATAGAATTGAGAAACAGAATGTTGAATCCAATGATTGTTATTTTCATTGAAAATAGTGGTTACTAAGGAATTTGTGTTCGTTAGATGATGTTAGAACTTAATAGACATTCCTCGTTAATTGAAGCGACGAGGTCCCAACGTGGGTCTAGCATCGAGGCACTACCGCACTCGCCGATCTCCCGCTGCTCGATCCGATTTCCTCGCTCGCTGATGGTAAGCCCACCGTCGGTTAACTCACAGACTCCTCGACGTTCTATCGACTGTTGTACGCTGACAACGCAACGGAATGTTAAATTGTAAACGGCGCGCCAACGCTGCTCCACTCCTCCATTGTCCCTTATCGTTCTAAAGTCGACGTTCGTTCCACGATTCGCTGGAGAATCTCGTTACAATTGGTAGTATTGACGTGTCGTGAGCGCTCGTGAACACGTTCACGGACATTCCGTTAGAATATTATTCTTGTAACGCTGATATTGACCTAGATCATTTTTCGAAGTTCGTTTCTCTGCAACGATCAGCAGTTCCGTACGATTCCGTTGCGCAAAATACTCGCCGCACTCGAAGCAGATGAAGATGTCCTGTCCGCGAACGTGTTAAGATTTCTAGAGATAAATTCGACTGAGCCGCTTTCATCGGAAATGACAGACGGTTGAGTCGTTCGAACGGTTTTATACAGGGTGTTTCGGTAGAACGCGTGCGGGTGGAACCTTCCCGAATTCGAAGTGAAACAGAAGCCATGGGAAACGCGTGTTTTCATAGAAGTTTCGTGCGTTCGTCTTGGTTCTTTTGATTTTCCAGATTTTGGACTTAACCGGAAGATCGACGATACACGCGAGAAGCATTGGTAATTTAGCATCGTCGACGAGACGAAAGCGTGACGGAGACTCGATGCGATCAACGTAACCCGATCGAAAGAAACGTTACTGAAACGGTCGGGGTAATTATTGAAGTCATTGGTACGTTCGTCACCGCTCGAAACTACGATTATCGCTATTTATTACAGAATCTCTTCTCGTCCTCGGATTTTGATACTTCAATGAAAATCTGTTAACAACGTCGACTGATAAGACGGACTCTGGAGCCGAAGGTCTACGAAACGAGATACACGGTATTTAACAACTAACTTATCGATCGTTTTACTGGCAGTCATCGTTTTGTTATGCGGATAAACTCCAAATGAGATCGGTCAGTTGATCGCACTCCGTCGCGAGGGTCGCCAGTGGAACAATAAATTACCGATCGTTCTTCCGGCATCGATAGTGCATCGTTCGAAACGAGAAACACACTGCATAAAACGATTTCATTGAGCGCGTCGCTTAACGGATCGGAAAATCAATCTAACGATGTCGCTCGAATATGTTTCTAAAGTGTATCCTTTCAGCTCGTGACGGCAGAGGTTCCCAATGCTAATCCCGAACGTAATCTAATTCCTAGGATACTGTACAATCGGTATTGTCTGTTAGCGTCAGTGTCTTTTGAGTGGAGGATCGGTAATAGGGACTTAGGCCACGTGCGGTTCTGAAGACGAGTGAACGGAACTACATGGAATTGTTGAGCGATAATTGGTAACAGTGCTGGGTAAAATGTCGCTGTGAACATTGCAAAGTATATTGTAGAGTAGCAAGTAGCTCTAAAGAGTACCTTATTTGCTACAAAAAATGTTTCAAATATTTAGAGAAAAGAATCTTGGTATCCTTTAACACGTTGAATGTCATGGGGTCACCGGTGACCCACAACCAAATAGAATTACTGCAGTTCACTCAATGAAACAAGGATTATATGGAAACATTTCTATATTATAAATAATGCTAGATAATAGAGTGACATTCAGCTGGATGAACGTAGAATAGTAATAATAATAATAGTAATAATAATCTTCCTCTGTGAAATCATGGAGTTCAACGTGTTAAAATTCTGAAAGTTGGGACATTATATTGAATTATAGTGCCATGCGTTGATCTAACGATATAAAACACTAAATATTCATTGTAAATGCTACATAATTAACACATTATTTTATAATCTAAATAGCATTTGAAATGTTGTTTCCCGAAATGTTACCCAGCTCTACATTGGCTCGTCCAGGTACCAATCATCGCAGAACGTTCACTTCAGGGTGACAAATGACGCAACGACCCGGTCAAGGAACGGGACAGATGTCTTTCGACAAAAGGACTGTGTCAGACCGCACGGCACTTACCCAAGAACCTCTGACGAGTCAAAACCTTAGAATTTTACGTCTTCTTTCGAAGTTACTCTAACAAACAGCTAAGTTTACAGCCTCGCGCTCCCCGCCTCTGAAACAAAGAGAAAAAGCTAGCATGGCGTAAAAGTATGAGTCGAATTTGGACTATTCAAACGATCAACGCGACGCCAGTTGGCAAAGAAAAGTTCTCCTAGCACGGCGATCCGAGAATTCGATCGAAAAATCGAAACCGACCTCCCCCTCGCACTATAGAATTCATATAAATTTGTACCATCGTTATCGACGCACCCTGTATAGAACCTCGCGAAAGAATCCTCTCCGTCCGTCGATACGAGAGTCGAACACTCGACTGCCGCGTCTCCGACAATTGTTCCTCCAAGCTCGGGAATGAATGTTCACGACAACGCACCGAGCGAACCAAAGTTCCGTTAGGATCTATAAAGATGCGAGAGGATTGAAAGCGGATATGCATACGCACGCGAAGCCTGAGCGGTCTACAATCAACAGCAGTCTTTTGAAATTCGACACGCGCACTGCAGTCGCTTCACCAAAACCTCTGAAACCGATAAGCCTTATATCGTCGATATAATCTCCTCATAAAAACGCTGAGACACTACGTACAACGCACGGTCGCCGTAACACCGCGAAATCTCGAGTACGCTCCGCGTCGTTTAACGCGTTAAGCGCCACGAAAGTAAGCGTTTTCCCATAGAGTTTCTTTTGTAGCAAAGAAAAGTAGTGAAAAGTTAGCGTTACACTATCATCAACTTAGTCGCCTTATTAAACATTTTTATTTCACATCGGTTGTCTTGTTACGATTGTTTTTTAGTCATTCAGAAGCGTCAGTCACCAGTGGCTGACATGGCGCTTAACGCGTTAACGCTAGACGTTCTCTAATCCTTTCTCGTAACTATCGGTTTCATTGAACATCTCACTATTCTCTCGAACGGAAACTTTCGAGCGGAGCAGGCGTGTACTCGAGACTTCGCGGCGGAAAAGGTAGCTACGTCCCGAGAAGCGGTACTCTTAGGGGGTCTGCTCTATGTTGCATGGAAACGACATTGTCGCCGTACGGATTCTCATGGGTTCCTTGAAATCGCGGCAAACTTATTGTCACAAGTAAATTTGGCACAAGCGCTGGTAACGTGCCCGCTGCGCGTTGATCGGCTCGCAGTACACCTGTTGCGATCCTCGAGGATCGCGAGCTTCGCGATCACTCGCCGGCGCGCGTGCCTCGGTACGCGAGACACTCGTCCCCCCTTCCTCGCCCGACGACGAACACGCCGAACATTTATCGTCTAACGACCGCAGCTCCGAAGCAGGTGGAGTCTAGGTCAGCTACGCGCTGCGCGTCCGAGCAGACGAAAAGCCGAGCAACAACGTTCGTTCGTTTGTAGCTTTTTGGAATAGACACCGAGGCGGGTCCTCGGCACTCGCCGAACGCGAGAGATAGGTGGGAGTAATTGAGATACATAGGGTGCGTCTGAAGGAAGTAACGTCTCGCGCGAAGTCAGGTGAAATGGAATGGAATTGTTTAAGTATCTTAAACTGTTTAAGATTCAGATTTGTACCCGTGCGTTTAGGATTTGTGGAAATGATCGTTAGTACAGAGACATTGACAATGTGTACAGAGTGAAACGAAAGGTAACTGAATATTGGAATTTGTATATTTGTAAACGAAACAATGCTCACTGTCAATTTCTGTTCGGGTCTCGAATAGGTTCGACTTTAGTTCCAGACGCATCCTGTATAAACGTTTCGTTGAGACCGATGGTCACGGTTATAATACGATCACACAGTTCGACTACGCAACTCTGCTCGCTAGTTTATTATCATTAAAAATTTAGAAATCACTCGAATCACTGTCGCTGAGCGAACGTCTGATATAGTTCGGAGTCCAACTCGGCGCAAGGATTTATCTCAGTCTGCGATACATCGTCATCACCTCCTCGCTAATTTCTCATTAATTGTCCCGCGAAATGTTATATCTGTTTTCGGTTTCGTTTTTTGTTGCTCGTTCTTGTTCGCTATCTTATTTAAGATTCCTGCGCTTCACCTAAAAAGAGTATATTCCAAAATTAAATATACATATGTCTGTATGTATGTATGTATGTATGCATGTATGTATGTATATATATGTAAATATATGTATATAATATGAATGTGTATATACAGATACAAATGTCTCTATTTTACAACGAAACATCTCTCGACCCTCGCAGGTTTACATACGTCTCCGATGATTTCTATGATACTTTATACAAAACAACTGAACACACCATAAACGTAGACACAGATAAAGTAATCGACGAAGAATGGGAAAAGATTCAATGTGCGATAAACTAAACGTTAAAAGAAATATATCGGAATAACCTCCTCTCGTCTATTGTCATCTCGTAGAACGTCTTTTACTGCTGAAGTTCTGGCGCAACAATATCTTCGTCGTTCAAAATATTCAAAACAATAAACAATGGTTATTACGTTTTTCGTCCGATCAATGATCAATCTTTCAGAATCGCTGTCTATCACCGCTCAATAAGCGAAACATAAAAAATATAATTCTATCACAAAAAGGAATGTAACGTGATTGTACAGGGAAACTGTTGTAAATCATTCGTCCGACTGAAGTTTATAGGTAAAATATCTCGATACAGTTCCAAGACTCGCGGAATCGAAATTATAATACAACTCGTCCTGGAATTCAGCTAAGTTGAAAATCACTCCGTCGCGACGTGTGAAGATATGTAACGATCGCCGGTGACGCACATGTTAATTCGAGTGCTTGCAAATATACAACTTAACGCGAAGAAGTTACGTTTATTATATAAGAATTCGACCTCCGAAACGCTGTTACTTGTTTTTCCTTATCGGAAGAAAGAAACGGACAATCGATTCCCGCGCGAGTACATAGCTGAATGTCCAAGAAATGTTAACACGTTGACTGCCGTGTTAGTCACCAATGATAAGTGCTCCCAAATTGTTTACATAAAACCGTTAAATTCCGTAAACTAAACAATAGTGTAACATAAGAATTGTGATACCAAATAATAATTGTTCCTATTGATCTTTGACGTAAAGTAAGCAACATTACATAAATCTCTGAAAATTCTCGCGACAGTCAACGTGTTAACGATACATTCAATGAGGAGAGAAACCAATCCCCTTCTTAGTTTATTATACCTTGTTCCAATAATGTTCAGCTCGCAGACGTTACTTGGGAAACCGTGAACGGCGTCACCTGATAGAGGAAACACCTGTTGCACACCCTCACGGGTTTCGTGTGCCCGTAACGCGGCAGGGGAACGTTGTTGCTGCTGCAACGACCGCAGAACACTTTGCCACAGTTTCTGCAATGGTGTCTCCGTCGCACCACGGTGAACCCTGCTTGGCAGGCCATACACCTAGGCGCATCGTTGTCTGGAACCCAAGCCGGTGCACGTTCAACGCACTCTTCGCCGCGTTCGGTTATCGGAGAATCTGTGAATAACGATCAACTATCAACATAATGTAATTACTCAAAACAGAGTTGATTCCAGTATGAAGTTTATAAACACTATGACAATGAGTAAACAGTGGGGTAGCTTTGTCAATGACAAAATGTTTGTATAAGTACCTATATGATTGAAATTGATTCGAACACTGAAAGACTTTAACATAGGACATGATTCCAAGTCAATGTAAGAATTACATATAAAAGGAATTATTCTCTCAAGAGAACAGAACGCACTTGTGTGTTGGTCGTTTGTCACGGTGGTGTCTTCCAAATCGTCTTCATACTCCTGCAACGAGTCCTGTCGCTCGTGATTGGTGACTGTATCGTTTACAGGACTCGCCGGTTGTTCGTCCGTCGTTAACCCTTCGTCCTTCGTCTCTCCGTCCTCCGGGGTTTGACTACTGTTCATCAGGAACACGCACTTCAAGATGTTGCGCAGGTCGGAAGCGAAATTCGTTTGCAACTGATCCGCTACGCCGGCTATGCAGACGAACAGGCGGTGAACGAGATCCTCGGACGATCTGAAACAACGGGACACGTTCGAATACTTGCCGCAACGTACAATCTCAAGACACGATCTACTCTGAACCAGACATGCTTCGAGACAGCGAACTATCAAACAGACCAAACACTCGGACTCCTGTCTAATTATCAACATGAAACTCGCGAAGGGCTATTAAAAAAAATTGATTCCTTCTACGCTACAACAAAGGTGAATCTAAAATTCTAATATCTCCTTGAAACAGACAGATCGGTCAACCGCTCGCTACCCGAAGAATTCTTTTACCGGAACTTCGCTCGAATCTGATTCCTATTCGCGATCTCGGCGGCCTGCATCGCGAGTGCGATCTCCTCGTCGTCCTGGCAGTCGCTCTGGAACTCGCTGGTCTCCGAGCTGGAGTCGCAGCAGCTGGAACAGCTGGAGCTGGACCCGACGTCCGGCTTGTGCATCAGCGAGTGGTCCGAGGTGAACGACTGCGTGCTGGACATCGTCGACGCGTTCACCAGTCTTATCGCCCGAACGGTTCTCTGTACATCGTCTTTCATAGCAGTCTGGATCCCATAAGAAACGTTCTGCGACACCACCGGTGAGACCGACTCGGTGACCAAGCCGCTCTTGTCAGTCCTGGGTCCCAGGCCGTCGTTCATCAGCTCGTTGGGACTCCTGCTCTCCAGCTTCCTCTTGGTCTGCTCCGAGCGAGGGTTGGCCCGCTCGTACTTGTCCCTCTTCTCCACGTCCCTCCTCTTCATCCTGCTGATCTGCTCGGACCTGGACCTCCTGTGATCCAGAAGCTTCCTGTTCTGCGGCGACAGGTTCCTCTGAGCCCTGGGAGCGATGCAGGTCCTCTGGCCAGGCGCAACGTTGCCTCTGGTCTCGAAGTGCTGCATCCTCGGGCTGGCGTGAGGACTGTGGCTCCCGAAGTTCGGCATCTGCCTGGTGTTCTGGCTGGGGTGCAAGCTGGCGCCGTAGCTGACCAGTCTGGGGTTCAGGCAGCGGTCGGTGGAGTTGGACCTGGAGCTCTCGGTGCTGGTCGCGTAGTAGACGCTCTGGAAGTTCCTGGTCTCCTGCGCGCCGTGGATCAGCGAGCCGCTCCTCTCGTGCTTGCGGTGGTGCCTCCGCTTCTGCTTCTCGTCGCGCGTCTTCCTGCAGGCGATCTTCTCGTGCGCATACTGCTCGATCTTCGCGCCGATCTTGCCGATGCTCTGCGACGTGGACGGACAGTTCTCGCACTTCAGGTCGCACCAGAACTCCCTGCGGGACGTGGACGCGTCGATGTTCAGGTTGAGGTTCTCCCAGTTCTCGGTGTAGTTGATCTGGAAGCCGGACTGGTTCGAGTCGCAGACGGATATGTGGCCGTTCCCGTACGCGACGCCCACGAACTCCTCGGTGGTGCCGTCGAAGTTCGACGATATCCTTGGAATGTTCTTCGCGGCCTCGTTGCCGGCCGGGTGCAGGCTGTGCACCTCGATCGACCCGTGCTCCGTGCCGGGCAGCGTCTTCACGCTTCTCAGGCTGCACACGCAGGAGTTGTCCGAGATCGTGGAGCTCTTCCTCTTCGGCGAGTTCAGGTTCGAGCAGGAGTAGCTGGTGTTCTCCTGCGCGTCGTCGTCGAGGACCTGGTCCTCCTGCTGGATCTCGTTCGCGAACGTCTTCTTCTCCTCCGGGCTCTTGTCGTAGAGGCTGGTGTTCTCCGACGACAGCACCGTGCAGATGCCGGAGTCCGTCTGCTCGGATATCTCGTTCTGGCAGTCGCTGTCCAAGAGGAGGTTCGACAGAGTCTTGTTCGCCTCGGAGATCAGCTTCTTCGAGTCCAGGTCGGGCAAGGAGTTCTGGATGTGCATCGTCTCGCCGGACACGTTGTTCTCGTGGGACACTTGGTTCAGGAGGTACTGCGTCTGCGGGATCTCGATGTTCTCGGAGCCGACCAGGATCTCGGATATGTCGGCCGTCATGAAGTCGTCCTGCTGCTGACCCGACTCGCTCTCGTCGGCGAGCTGCGTGTCGCTGTCGGCGCTGTCTCGCGCGTGCACCGTCAGGTAGACCGTGTTCGCCTCGTCCCTCCTGGGACTGTCCTCGCAGGACTGCTGCCTGCTGCCGACGCTCGAGTTGCAGGCCTTCTTCGGCTGGCCGTATTGCACTTCGTCACCGACACTCTCACGATCGCACGATGTCCTCGCACCACCGTTACACATCGGAACGTCCTCGTAACAGTCCGCGACGACCACGCTCGAACGGTTAGGCCCGTGCTCCGCGTTGCCGGCCGTCCTCGCGTCCGCGTGCCTCTCGCGAGACTCTAGACGGTTCTCCGGCGAACGATCGTCGTTCTCGCGGCCCTCCGCCAACGCCTGAACGACGTCGTTCGCCACCTCGTCCATGTTGCTGCCCGTGTTCCTCGTCACTGTGTAAAAATCTACGATGAAGTCTTTGCAGTTCGGGTAGCCGGTATAAAAATTGTGAACGAACTCCTCCAAGTCCGGTATGTCTTGGCACGCGGACTTCGAGGACTGCGTGATCGGGCCGGACGGCTCCTCGTTCGAGCACAGCAGCTTCTCTAGCATGTACAGCTCGCGGTTGTTCAGCGTCCAGAGGAGCTCGCGGATCTTTAGAAGCAGCGTCTGAAACCGACGGAACGTCCAGTTGAGCTTTGCGTTCGGATGTTGTTTGTCGAGTGCTATCTTACAGGGATTCGAATCGAAGAGAATATATCATGGAAACTATATACCGAAGGCACCGGTAATTCGCCTGATGTCAGTGCTTGATCATTTTTCAGGGAAGGAGTATTCTCAAGAAACATGGAAATCGACCCTCCGATTGCAGTCTAATCGCCTATCCACCACATTTAGCAAAACTTCGCTCGACATTAAGCTACACAGGAAGGTAAGAAAATTTAATTATCAATCTCTCAAGTAAAATAACTACACCTGATATTCAACATATTTCATTGTAGATACCATCGACTTGCAGAAATTCATTAAACTTGGCGTCCTTCCCTTGTAAGCGAACATGCACGGGACACTGGTCGAGCTAGCCGAATCACGATCGACCCAATCCAATCGCTTACCCTAAACGGTCTGAACATTTCGCTGATGTTGTCGGGCGAGTTGAGGCACAGTGGCCCTCCAGGCGGAGCCAAGAGGCCGGAGACAATCGCCAAACGGGGAATAGTGAACATCAGGGCCGGCTCGTAATTATCCACGTCGGCCTGGCTGAGCAGTCCGCGTTCGAGTGCTCTCTGCAGCGTCTCCGAAAATAAAACGCACACCAGTTCCTGCTGCTCGTACTCCTTGGTCGATTTCACCGGGACCATGGCGCCGACGTAGCACAGCTCGAAATCGGCGAACAGGCGGTCGAAGATCTTCAGCGACTCGATCAGCTTCTCCAGCGACGGGTCCAGCGGATTCTGTGTCTGAAAGAGGTACTACGAATAGAAAAGTTAGTTTGACACTGCTCGGACACCACCGTCGAACGGCCGACGATCTACGATCTACGATCTATACTCGGGCTGAACGTTCTGTCGGATCCTGTGCGAAATTCCGTGGATCTTTCAGTTTCTTTTAGCAGAATATAAGTTCACCGTTGGTTTATAGTATTGCCAATTGGACGAAAAACTTTTGAATAAGATATCAAATTGTACGACTATCAACTTTAACTTTGAGACGGGTTAACGTATATTCTGCTTTGCGTAAAAAGCTAGCAAAGGGGACGGTTTCTAACCGCCTAACCGCAAAGAGTTAAGCAGGAAAACACGTTTGCCCGCTTTTGTCTGTCTCCAAGAGTCCTCAGGAAGTAGTTGGAACGAAACGCGAGACGTCCGAAGATCAACTTCCTGCAGATTTCCACGCTTCTATCTCCTCCATGGAACGCAATATCGAAGAGCTGGGAACGCGAACGAAACGGGCCACGATGCTGCCAATTGGCAAGGCTACTTTCCATTTTGTTGAGCGGAGTACACAGCGATCGCGCGTTGCACGCGCGGACAAAGTGGAACGTATTAGGCGTATTACACGGATCGTATTTATAATTAAAGGTAGAACAGCTACGGAGCGATCCAATTATCCCGAGTGGCGAACGATACGCGTATCGGGTAGGCACGATCGGCGAGCGCGATTAAATGGAAACGTTGTAATTAAGCCGGAGTCCTCGGGCCAATGAAAAATAACAATCGAGCCGAACCGCGCCGGTTCCGCGGGAGACCCGACGCGACGCGCGAGAACGCGAGTCAGAAAATTGTACACGACCGATGAATCATCCTCGCGCGCGCGGTCGATCGTGAAAGCGCCGCAGAATCTGGGCGTTTCTCTCGTTAAAAGGGGATATTCTAAATTATAATCCGGCTCGCGGGCGTATTTCTCGATCTTTAATCCGGCCGAGGGGCCGGCGGGCACGGAAGACAGTTCCATTTCCGGCGGAATACGATAATAATCCGAATTAAACGGTGTATTTCATTAAGCCCGGCGACCGCGCCGGCTCCCGGCCACCGTTCCGCGCGAGAAATAGGCTTCGCGAATATTCAAATACGAATTCCCGGGATTCTGAGACTGGCAGCTTCAATTATCTCCCTTTGTCCCGCTGGAATGACTCCGCGTTCCCGCGGAGCCGGGTCGCGACGCGGGTTTCGGTGACCCACCGGATTTTTACCCGGCGACGCGCCGCCGTCGCGTTTCATCCCCGCGGCGCGTGGGAGAATTACTCCGCTGCCGAAAGCAATTCCGCGTGAAACTCTTCTCCGAGGAATCCGATGGAATTCGTGGTTTGCCTCAGGATTTTCGAGACTTACGGAATATTCACGCCCGAAGGATCTTTCCTTAGCTACCGACTGGACGTTTAAGGCTGGATTTACGGGCAATTACGCGAGTACGCGTTGCGATACTCTGGTTTTGAAGCTACAGTTTTGCGATTTCTATTGAGGAACACGTAGTTTTATAGGGACAATGGGATAAGCTGTAATACACGTCCGTGAATCTAGTGTTAAGTGCATAAGGTGTTAACCCTTTGACTCGGTCGATTCTTGGTTTGACGCGATAAATCTAGAAAATCTGATATTTAATGAACTTTGTGTAATGCGTCGGTGCGTGAAATATTCGAATAAAATATCTTGTGATGTCTGTTCGAGTTAGTTTCGAAGCATATCGTTGTCTCAAAAAATGTTGAATATTTCCAGAGAATCTTCCGAATGCAAAGGATTAATTGCTTGTCTTGTAATATCGCGTCAGATTCGTTGATTCCGAATAGAAATAGAACATAAATAGCATGTTTATTAGGAGTTGTTGTCGTTAATTGAAATAATTAATCGGATCGAAGTGAATTTTCCAGAAGCGCGCGACAAATACCTTCAGGTTCATGTGACCTTTCAGCGCGTGCTCCCTGAGCAGATTCCTGACGATATCCAGCGACTTTGTCAGCGCCTTCGCCAGCGGCCTCATCGCTGAACTTTCAGCCTCTCTGTTCATGATGGACGAGCCGGCTGCCAGGCATTCCGCGCCGAACCACAGCTGCCCGGCGAGATTCTCCTGCATCACGTCGTCCGGGAACTTCACCCTGAAGTCCCTGTTCGCCCTGCTCTCCGGTATCAGGTCGTCCATTATCTGGCTGCAGATCGTCAGCACCTTGTCCTGGCAGTGCCGCAGCTGATTCACCAAGGTGGTGCATCGCTCCGGCTCCTGTCGGCCGTCGAACGAGTCCAACTCGCAGGCCACCGCGTTCAGCGACTCGTCCGCGTAGAAGAACTGAGCCAGCAGGCTCGTGTCGTCTCTCTGTAAACGAAACAGACCACGGAATCGTTAGACCCTGTGACTTAATCGTCGACAACAGCTTCGATGGGCTACTAAGGTATACTGTAGCGACTTCGTCACCACGTTTTTCATCAATTTGTCCATTTTAAGCATTTTTGGAGCATTTTTGGAGCATTGATGTAGACGAGCGACATCCGACTTTCAATTGGAACAGTAGAAAAACGGCATCTGGAGATTCCACTATTAACACGTTAAGCGCCACGACAATCTTAAGCGTTTTCCCATAGAGTTTGTCTGTTGTAGCAGAGAAAAGTAGGAATACTTATGAATCGTTTGGCGTTGCAACGTTTGCATTACACTATTGTCAACTTAGTTGCCTTATTAAACATTTTTATTTTACATCGGTTGTTTTGTATGTTACGATTGTTTTTTAGTCATTCAGAAGCGTCAGTCACCAGTGACTGGCATGGCGCTTAACGTGTTAACTGGAGCGTCGCACCGCCGATGCGTTACTCCGAAAAGTACACCGTACAACCGCGCTGTATAAAGATACGAATAAATACCAGATTTTTATACTTCCGCGAATGCAAAACGTGGGTGTGAATTGTGTTTTACTGTCTCCTCATTAACCTACACTCCACTCCCACGCATGTACTAACCCTTAGCGCTCGAGAGGCGACTCCCAGTCGCCAGATGATTTGGTACAGGGAAATTATAAACTTTGGTATTTACCATTAACCTTTGTATACTGCATCGATGCGTGAAATATCGAAAGGAAATAGCTTTGCTCCCTAATTTACGTGTGATTTCTTGTTACAATTCATTTTAACCCCTTGACCTACAACGAGTGAGACTCGTGGTGATGATTTTCAAGATGATTCAACAAATATATATATTGCTCGGTTCATTCGAATGCAAAGTAAATATTATTCCTCTGTAATCAACTATTATACTTAAAAGGTAATGTAGGCGTAACATATGCTTAGCATTTTTCTATTTTTCAAATAAATTATTAAAGACAAAGTGGCCGTATTGATCAGAGTTGTAAAAGAGATCATGGGCCAAGGGGTTAAAGAATCTTGTCTACATCTAATTAGAAAGTATACAGTATTTCAAATGAAAAGCTTCGGCTTTTGTTTTATTAAGAAAACCGTTTCGAGCGTACATGGGGTTCTGATAAGATTCGATTGGAACGGGTTAACGCGATACATTAAAATCTAATAAACCTCTCCGCGAGAAGGGAGAAAAAGGATGGAAACCGATCGAGAGAGAATTTTTTTCGCGTCGCGGCGGCATCGGCTCGAAAGAACGGTTTTCCTTGGCGATTGGTAATTTTCCGCGCGTGTTTGCCATGGGAGGGAAGCTGTCGCTCGAACGATATTTATAAATTGATACGTGGCCGTGCGCGACTCGAAACAATGACTCTAATTATACCTAGGACGTAATTAAAAGAGGGGACTGACTGCGCGATACTTCACGTTCCGTAAACAGTGGTCGTGAATGGACGGAGGTGCAGGCTATTCAACCACTAATTACATCAAACGACGTCGACACACGTAACGATGAAAACTTTCTCCAGCTGATTCGACACAATCGACACCGCCATTATCGCCTATTGACAAATACAAACCGACCGGCGCGGAGTAGGACGTCGTGCTCGTCCTTCCCGATTAAACGCGCGGCCGTTAATTAATCCTCGGACCGAAGGAGATCGATGGAATCATTTTTCCTGCGACTCGAACGTTTCACTGTGATCTACGCGATCGCGTCATTATTGTGTCATTATGATTCTATATTGTGCTCTGTATTTATTATTAACCCTTCGACGAAGATTCTTTAAAGCATACGAAACCAGATTCTGCGAATTCGATTGAATGCTTGAAGAATATAAATAAAGAAACTGTTCTGATTTCTTGCTGCTGAAGCAGTTCACTTGTTTGCAATTTGCTATTCCAAACATGAAAGTTTGATCCCGGCAAAATGGCGAGTTCGACGGAATATTTTTCATCAGTTGATTGATCAGTTGATCTTCGATCGAAGAGATTTTGTGGAATAGATGTAAAAGCTTCTATTCAGCAATTTCGAAATGATAATGTACAAGTGAACGGTGTAGAGAGCACAGTACCGGAGAACGGTGACGAATGGAAATAAAATGAAGAGCAGAGATTGAACGAGCAGCGATAAAGCTTGGCGATGAAGTCTAACAACAATGTTACAAGGTCGACGTTTCGCCAGCAACGAATTTCCACCGGTGTTTGCGTGTTTTTCGTCTGTTCCGCGAGCGAACGACAACACCGTCGCCGCAGCAGCTTATCGTCTTATCATTACGGAATCCGATGACGGTTTTACGAACATCTCGTTCGACGGAAGACGGACAACAATAACAAGGTATTTTTTCTCTGGCGAACCGAAGTTCACAGCGTCAAACGACAGACTTGAGAATGGGATAAATAATATTCTTTTCAGGTATTCACTCGTTCCTTCGTTTTCTCTAGATCAGAAAGCTCTTTGTGTAGCCTTTGAATATATTGTACAATAATGATGTATCAACACTAGAAAACACAAGTGTGCAGTTATTAAGACTGCAATTAGCTTATAAATCCATCTAGGTATTACTAAATCAGTTTCCTTAATGATTCCTCGAAGTGTCTGCCTTTTCAGTAATTATAGAAGAAATCAGGAATGAGTCATTTTGAGCCATCCGGTAGTTCTAGCGTTAGAAAATGTTACTTTTTTCCAATTTTTGCTTTCCGCGCTTAACCGCGTTGCCTCCCGTGCGACTCAATTATTAATGGTTCGGTAGACCGAGGGCTGCGCTGAAAAAGGAATGAATATCGTGGAAAGCGCGTGAAAAACTGCCAAAGATTATCAGTTCCGCGGGACGCAGTCCCATCGTACGATAATGCGAGCGCGTGCAGCGCGAAACGAATGAATATTCATCGGATTCGAAGGCTCGTGTAGGAGTGTATTCAGCGGAACGCGAACGCCGAAGGACTTTCGATGTGCAGGATCAATAATAAACGGTATTAAACGCGAAACATGAGTCGCTTATTAGCCACGGGACACGCGGGCCCGAAGACGAGTCGTAAAAATCACCGTCGAAAACCGATTTAGAAAGCGTGACGTGGTTTTCTCCGGTTCGCGTCGGATGATAATTGCGGAACGGTCAACAGAATTTGGCTGCGACGGCTGATGTTTACGCTGAGAACGAACTGAGAATGCCTTATGAAATTCATGAAAACGGTCGTTACTCATGGGAGTGTCAGGGGACAATCGATGGAAATAATGGAATGAACTTTTCGGAAGAATCCGTGGCGTTTCGTTTGGGAACAAAGTAAAGTCACCAACTTGAGAGCTGTGTGTTTTGTTATGTGTATTACGAAATTGCAATATCACAAGATTGCAAGATTATAATATTACCATACTGTGGTGTAGTATCAAAAGATTGCAAGATTATAATATTGCAGTACTGCAATATCACAAGATTGAAATATTATAATATTACCATACTGAAATGTCTTAGTATCAAAAGATTGCAAAATTATAATATTTCAATACTGCAATATCATAATAATATAATATCAGAATACCATAATATCATACTATCATAATACCATATCATAATATCGTACTATCATACTATCATACTATCATAATATCATACGATCATAATAATAACTACTACAGGACACTAAGAAGCTCAGGATCACATCCTCCGATCGCTCAAGATCACAAAAACCGCGCTCCCGAGCGCTCCGCACGCCGCGCGTCAACTTTTGAAGATCCGCCCGTCGTTATGGCGTTCGCGCGGTCTCTTATCTATTTTAAGCCGTCGCAACGGGTACGTGAATTAGGATGCGCGCAACGATACGGTGCTGGTGCAATTGCGCTTGCATAAGACCGTGTCGATGCACTTCGAATCGATACCCATCGGCTCACGTGACGCGCGATGGTTCGCTCGCGTTTATCGCCGGCTTCGGACGCGTGAACATAAAAACCGACTGCAACTCAACCCTGAATCACTATGACACTTCACGGACTACCGGTCTTTTGTTTATCTTTCCCGGACCTCAAGCATTCTTCGAGGAAATGCAACAAATGAAATTCAAATGAAATTCAAACGAAACGAACAGCAAAACGCTGAGCCGCTCACAGGCCAAATCAACGAAAGACGCTTGTTAAATTGTTCGATATTTTAGTCTATTTAATTAATTACTGTTTTAACATCACAAAACTACAAACTTTTTTGATTGCGGGATAATAGCAAATTTATTTGAGAAGTCAAACTGATTTCAACTTAGCACGATGCTCTGCCGATTTTATCGGTTCTATTGTGTTATTGTTTATTATTATGCTGTAACTTATTCAATGCGTCGAGAAACAGTGACAAGACACGATTTCCTTCATCGATTCCTCTGCTTTCTGTTCTACGAACTTAATCAACTTGGCGAACGCACGGGCCATACTTTAAGAGTAAGTAAAAGTGACAAAATGACGCAACGCTATTGAAATATCGCCGTGTTAGGAAGTTACCATGAAAAAACGTGAACTCCCGACCGTCAAGTATTAATAATCAAGACCGCCGGACACCTTCCAAGAAAACGATAACCGCGAAATGATTCATGCGCGTCGCGAATATGCGCACTGTCGCGGCGGAACCCTGAAATTCGCTTTCCCGTTTCGTTCTCCATTATTTCGCGCACCTTTCCCGTCGCTGTGAGTCATTAACGCGAGACCTCGTTTCATTATTAACCCTTCACCTTACGATTTCATTCTCGACTGAAGAGAACATTCGTGTTCTTGTCTTTTTATTAAGACAATTGCCTAATTAATAGAGAAAAAGGAAACTGCGCGCTGATCTCTTGCTGTTCGAGTAATTGAATCATTCGTTTGCGACTTAGTCTTCGAAATATGAATCATTCAACTCTCCGATACATAGAAATCTTGCTAATAGAGAAAATAATCATTATCCGGCAAACCAGTGCCAAAACTGTGATCAATGTATCGAAAATTGAACAACA